TACTGTTCATCACATTGAAGATTTCCTGCCATTCCTTTCTAGCCTGCCAAGTTTCAGTAGATAGGTCTGTCACCACTCTGATAGGTTTCCCTTTGTATGTTAGGGCCCTTTTCTCCCTAACTGCTTTCAAAATTCTCTTTGTCCTTGTATTTTGCCATTTTTACTATGATGTGCCGTATTACACTGTATTTTAAAGCACACGCCAAGGAAAATACCAGATTTGTGTGGGTGTGTGTGTGCTACTGAAGTTAATATACAAAAATAATTAAGTGAAGAGAACCACATGAAAATTCTGGAAAATGAAAATGTAGGTAGGATGGTGAGGGAGACAGAGTGGCTGGTGGAAGGTGGGAAGCAGAGATGGCACTGAGTGATGAAATCGTTTTTGGGTGTAGTGGGCATAAATTTCAGTCCAAAGCACTCAAGTCTGGAAGAAATATTTATATTTAGGAATTCAACTTAATTTTATCCTCCATGTTGCCAGAGTGGGAATGAACTTCAGTTGTGTCAGGGCCTCATGGCACCCAATCACCTCCCCAACACTGCTCTAAGAACTGTGAGGCTCATCCAATACCCCGGTGGAGGGGAGGGGAGGGTTTCTGATCCTTGGTGGCTCATCTGTCTCCCTGAATCCTTGCCTGAGGCTGCTGCAGCTTTGGGGATCTCACCCCCTTCTGGGCCTCCTCCCCTGCAGGAAAATGTCTGTGGGGTTTAGATGCTGTATGCCATTTGGAAGTGGACCCTTCAGGGGTGAACTCAGAGGAGCATGCCAAATGGGAGCAAAGGGACACCAGCCCTAGAAGATGAGGGTGGGTGACATCTGGGTACACAGACGCTCGGCTGAGTAGGGAAGGGCAATGGGAATTAACCATGAACATTCTGAGTAGTGAGAGCCACATACGGGGTTCTGTAGGAGTGCTGGGAGGGAGAGCAGTTCACAGCAGTGGGGTCTTTTGAGCTGGACCTTAAAGGATATAGTTGATTGCCCATGGCAAAGATTGGTAGGCATGCACAGGGCACTGCAGTAGAAACAGCACGAGCAAAACTCAGGCTAAGGTGAAACCGGATCTGATTTCCTGAGCCCACCTTCATCAGTGGAGGGAGGGAGGCAATTCCCAGGAAACTGCTGGGGCCAGGGCCTGAGCCACGTGGCTGTTGATTAACCATTCCATAGACCATAGGTCATTCTAGTTATTGCTGGATACAAAGTACAAAATTGTGGATGATGCCATCTCTGTGGATATTTCCAGGCCTGAGTCAAAACTTTAAGTGTTTCCTTCAAACTTCAAAACTGGAGATCCAGGGGCTTTCGGGTGTGCCTTTCTCTGATCCCTAATTGGAGTAAACATACAATGTGGATATACCATAGTTTCACAGACTGGGTAGGCCTTCTCCTGAGAAAGGCCTTAGAAGGGACGGAAGAGCCTACGATAATCCAGTGAAAACCAGAGGTGTAGACAGCACTGCTTGTCAGAAATGAATCCAAGCAAGGTATACTTTTATTTGCCACCTTATCAATGGGAAGAATTCATAGGATCTTCAATTTCCTTTGTCCACATTACTCCGTTATTCACATTAGCAGCAGAAAATGCAACTAGAAAACAGTAGATGCTTCAGACTTGTTTCTGTACACATTTTGTTTTCCAAAGCAGGTAGCAGAGTCAGTTTTATCAGGGTTTCTCAGTCACAGTTCCCATCTGGAATTTAACTGGCTTCCATCTTTCTTAATGCATTCAAATGAAATGCTATCCTAGTCACTGAATTTCCATTTGTTTCACTCACCTGCCACTTCCACATGGGAAGGCACTGCTCCCCGCTGCCTAGTGAAGTGTATTGCAGACAGTAAGGGAACAAAAATATTTTTGGATTCCGTATTTTCATTTTCCTTTGGTGTTCAAAAGTCCTACTATTTCTTTGTAACAGAGTTGAGACTTTTTTTCCTAAGGAAAATATACTCACTTCACATGATAAGCTGAGCTACTTCAAAGGTGCATGTGTTAAAAGAAAAAAAAAAAAAGATAGAAAATATCCCGTGAGATATTTCCAACCATCATGAATTCTCATTCAACTATTATTTAGTGAACCCCTGCAGAGCAGGTGGCTGTATAAAGAAGTAAAAACAGTGGTGCCTGGCTGGGTCGGTCAGAAAGCATGTGACTCTTGATCTCAATAGTTGTGAGTTCAAGCCTCATGCTGGGTGTAGACATTACTTAGATAAATAAACTTTAAAAAAAGGTAAGTAAATGGGGCGCCTGGGTGGCTCAGTTGGTTAAGCATCGGACTTCGGCTCAGGTCATGATCTCATGGTTCATGGGTTTGAGCCCCGCATCGGGCTCTGTGCTGACGGCTAGCTCAGAGCCTAGAGCCTGCTTCAGATTCTGTGGCTCCCTCTTTCTCTGACCCTCCCCTGCTCATGCTGTGTGTGTCTCTCTCTCAGAAATTAAAAAAAAAAAATTTAAAAATTTAAAAAAAGGTAAGTGAAAACACATAACTCGTTTTCCAGGAAATGACTTATCTATTTGGGGAAGTAAGACCCATTTATTTAAAACGTGAAGCCACGTTGCTAGGCAGGATGTAATTCCAGGCAGCGTCTCCTCTAAAGTCCCGTATTCCTGAGACACAGTAGCATCAGCGTGCCTTCTATATGCCAGGCATTGGGCTAGGAGTTTCAGGATAGCATTTTGAATTCCCAAACAATCTCAGGAAGTGTGAAAGCTTTTAGAAAGAATACAAATAGAGGAACTAACCCAAGAAGTCATTTCCCACCCTAGATTTAGTTTTCCTAAATCAAGAAAGCAACCTTAATCTTTCAAAGTTCAGTTTCTATGAGACACTTGAGTATTCAACATACCAGGATCATGTAAGAGTGTTCATTAAATCAACTAGGGGGTGCAAAATGGTGTATCAAGGTGAATTTGATTATCAACCAATAGATTCATCTTAGAGGGGCTTCTTCAGTATCTTATCCTTCTAAGGGAAAATTTTTAGAAGAAAATTAATTTCAAGATTACAGTTATAAAATAAGTAGTCAATGGATAGCGTCATCAAAGTGCTCCTAGACTAATCTGGTCTTCATATGCTCAGACTGACCTCTGCTGGATAGTCTACTAACAAGTTGACATGTTTTTTTCCCTCGAGCTAAATGTGGCTAGGGAACAAGCATTTCCCCCAAATTATATCTGGTATTTATATTTATATACTTCAGTTCACAAATATTCATCAAACCTTCCACACTACTTTACAGCAAAATCTTGCAGTGTACTTGGCTGCCAGAGGCAACTGTCCAAGGGCAGAGTAGGACACTGATGAGGCTACACGAGCTACCTACTCTCAACACTCCTTTTGATATTCTCTTTGCTTTTATGCAGCCCAAGTCCTCTAGTGTGTACCTCAGAAGCACATAAGCATATCTGCTGCATGGGCCCAATTTCAGGGGCTCGCTGGGTGAAACCACAGCTCCCTGCATGTGTCTTCTGGATTTACCTCTCAAAGCTGGACTCCACTCTGTAGAAGTCACTTATGTCCCTAAGTAGCCAATGGAGACAAGACTGATGTGTATGTTGCAAACCAGCTGAACTTTGAGATAGAGTCCTATGCCCCAATTCATGTAAAATTCTAGATCATAAATGATACTTTCCATTTCTAATAACCTTTTAAAATAATGTCTGCTTCTGATAAAAAATTATATAATAACTTTTAAAATTTTGTAAAAATAAAAAATAAAGGAAGTAAAAATTGCCTATAAGTCCATTAACATGTTAACATTTTGGTTTAGTTTGTGGCTATCTTTTTTTTCTGTGTACGTCTGACTCTGCAAATACAGGTATATACCCTGACCTGGGTCCATCCATTTTGTAGCTTGTCTTTTCACTAGTATTATATTATGATTATCCCTCCATTTATACATACTTTTTTTAAGAAAGAGAACAGGTATGGAAGAGGCAGAGGGAGAAGGAGAAGGAATCTTAAGCAGGCTCCACACTGGGTAACAAGGGACTTGATTCCATGATCATGAGATCATGACCTGAGCCAAAATGAAAAGTCAGATGCTTAACTTACTGAGCCACCCAGGTGTCCCTATACAAAGTCATTACCACAATTTTTATTTTATGAGGTCAACAGATCATAATATACGAAGCCAGTGTTTTATTATTAAACATTAGCATTGTTCCTAAACTGTGCTGAATGGCCTTCCATATAAATATTTGACCAAATATTTTATTATTTCTTTAGGATATATTCTCTAAATAGGCTCCCTGGATCAAAAGGTATGGTGTATGAACATTTTTAAAAAAATTTATTTACTTATTTTGAGAGAGACAGAGACAGAGCAAGTGGGGGGAGTGCAGAGTGGGCGAGGGAGAGAATTCCAAGCAGGTGCCATGCTGTCAACGCACAGTCCAGTGTGGGGCTTGAACTCATGAAAGAAACCATGAGATCATGACCTGAGCCGAAACCAAGAGTTGGAAGCTTAATCGACTGAGCCACCCCAGGCTCAGTATGAACATATCTGAGATTCCAAATACAAGCACTACTAGAATTACTCTATGAAAATGTACCAATTTCATCTTCCACCATGACACAGCAGTGCCGTCTTCATTTTACCCTCACTGTCACAGAGAATTATAATTTTGAAAGTGCTTTGCCAAGTGGATAGGCAAAAATAAGGGCTGGCCATCTAACTTATGCATTCACATTTATACCCGTTCATATTTATTCATACTCATTTTATCATATTTTTCCATTAATTATACATTCATGCCCTTTGCTCATTTTTCTACTAGTGTGTTAATATTTTTCTTATTTATAAGAATTCTTTATATATTAAAAGACTGTTGACTCTGTTGGTCTCAATGTGGTACACATAAACTAAGGTTGCTAATCTAAATATACCCTGAAATTATCAGTTTGGGTATGGCATGAACTCAGTAAGTTCTCTCCAGAAAAAAACAAAACAAAACAAAACCCCAATTCATAAAGTTAGAACAATATATATATGTATAATAATTTTAACATTTTAGTAATTTTGCTGTGGAAAATAAAATTCCATCTTACAAGAAAGAAAACTCAAGACCATTCCCACACATCTTTACATATTAGAGCGTGTCAGCCAGTGAAAATCCTAGAAAAAAAAAAGACAACAAACACTGAATGAAAGAAGTAACTGTATCAAACTATCTTTTGTTTGCTCTAAAACCTAAAAGCCTCATTATAACCACATTTACCACAATGGCGGTAATGAGGTTTGTCATTGGTCTGTGCTTTTCCCAAAAAGAAGCTAAAAACTCATTGTGAATCTTGCTGTCTTGTCCTACAAAACAACTATTAACCAGTAATCAGGGCACAAAAAAACTAGTCTGAAAGGACCAGAAGTAGAGTCAAAAGAAGAAAAAAGGGGGGGAAGTTGCCAAATCTGAGAAGCAGCTGGGTAGGAAGAGCAGTGCACAGAAGCCACGCCTTCTCAGGGCTCACCCCGCCCCCCCCCCATGTGGCCTGCACGGAGGGGACTGCAGAGATTAGGTTCTCTCTACAGTATAGCAGGAAGCAGCCAGGTTATACTGCAAATCAATGTCAAATGGCAGATGGACACACAGCCAATCAATGAAAACAAACAGCTTGGGAACAATAATATGTGTGGAATTTTCTGGAATGAGGATAACTCATGTTGAAGTGATTCAAAAAATATAAGGATGATCCTTATGGAGTTAAAGAAGAGGAGAAGAAGAACTTAAATTTCTCCAGCAATACTCCCAAAATCCACAGAGAAGTTGGAGAAGAGATCATTAGAAACCTGAATTCACTAGCGGAGAGGGGACGATTCATTAGGCCTTAATGTGACTAACGTGGTCTCAAGACTGTCTATTTTGCGTGTGTTCTGAATATACCCATTAAATCCATCCAACTAAGGCCAATGTTTCCTTATTCATTTTGTGTCTGGATGATTTATCCATTGATGTAAGTGGTTTACTAAAGTCTTTACTATTTTTGTAGTGCTACTTCTCCCTTTAGGTCTGTTAATATTTATTTGCTTTATATATTTAGGTGCTCCTACGTTGTGTACATAAATATTCACAAATGTCATACTTTCTTGTTGGATTAACCCCTGTATTAGTGTATAGTGTCCCTCTTTGTCTTTTATTACAATGTTTGTTTTAAAGTCTATTTGTCTGATATAAACATAGCTATCCCAGCTTTCTTTTGGTTTCCATTTGTCTGGAATATCTTTTTCCATCCCTTCACTTTCAGACTATGTGTCCATACATCTGAGATGAGTCTCCTGTTACACAGTAGACAAGGTGGGTCTTGTTTTCTTATCCATTCAGCTACTCTTTTGATGGGAGGATTTAATCGATTTACACTTAAAGTATTTACAGATAAATATATACTTATAGCCATTTTGTTTATAGCTTTCTTGGTATTTTGTAGTTCTGTTCCTTTCACCAAAGTCTCTGATATCTGTTTTTATAGAACAGAATTTCAGTAGAATTTTATATATCTTACAGTTTCTAAGTTAGCTAATTTACATTTCACTGATTGTCCAGGCATCCATTTGCCCATTGGTCTACTACCTTGTTCAATACATAAAAAGATCTCACAAAAAACCTCGGCTTGCACAGAGAGTGTTTTTAGTTCTAGCTGGGGTACTGACTTTGAACTGGCTGCCCTGGTCCCAGACGGCACCAGGAGAAACTGCTCCACTGCTCTCCCGGCTCCATCCCCAGTGGTAGGGAGGCAGCCAACCCAAGGGTGCACCACCGCTCCCCCTACTGGAGGTGGCAAGAAAGCAGCGACCTGCAGGACTGTGTTTCAGATGGTATCAATAAAGCACTCAGACTAAGATCTGGAAATGAGGCTTAGGACATAGAGCACGGCCCATCTTGGCTACACCCCTGGCACAGGGACATTGGACCCAAAAGAGTGATTTGCAATGCCTGGTTTGAGAAAGGACTGGGGCGCCGCCATTTTTCTTCCCACACCTACCAAGGCGGGGCCTCAGAGAGCAGCCTAGTGGGACCACAGTGGAGGCTAAGACCTGCCTACACCAAACCATGCACCACGCCCATCCCGGATACAGAGCTGTTTTTTTTTTTTGTTTTTTTTTTAACGGAGCCTGGGGCAAGACCAACATGGATGCACTGCCGTGATTAATTCTAGATCAATTCTTTCTACTCAGATATATTTTCCATTGTCTCATTTGTATCCCTCCCCTCTGCTGGACTGGGCACTCTGGTCATTGGTTTGCTTAAACAGTCACCTTTAATCCATTCTCTAGATGTATATTCCACACCTCCACCACTACCTTTCTCTCTCTCACTCTCTCCAGAATAATCAGGCTATATAGTTCCTCTGAGTTAACATTATCTTCGTTTTTTTCTCCTTGCCTCTTACCATATTCTCCTCTTTCTGTCTCTGAATTAAGCCTCTTAGTCTCTCTGCCTGGTCATTGTGCAGTTTCGCTTCCTCCCTGCCCTGTCATTTCCCTCTTTGTATATGCTCTTCCATCAGCACTGCACACACCCTGCTCTTTATTTGTAGCTGGGAATTCTGGTTTTATGCTTTGAGACTGTCTTTTGTATTTTGGGTTTTTTTCTTTTTTCTTTTCTTTTCTTTTTTTTCTTTTTTAACTTTTATTATTTGTTTTTCCCCCTTCCTCTTTTTTTCTCCTTTTTTCCCTTTCCCTTTCGGTTTGCGTATTTGTTGGATTTGTCTGTGCATTTGCGTAACTTTGTTCCCTGTGTTTGTCTGTCTTTATTCCTTTTCAGGGCTACCTCAAGAAACAAGCCAAAGTACACATGGTGGAGAGTCCCAAATACGAGTAGGGAAATAAAATAACCAAAGTCTCCACAAGAGAGACCAAGAGACACCATTAAAAGACACTTCCTGAATGGACAGGCCCTGGACTGTCAAAGAGCCTTCTTTAATATAGCAATACTCACAGGTGCAGAGTGCATAACAAGGTTTTAAAACTAACAAGAGATAGAAAGCTAGCCAAAATGATGAAATGGAAGAACTCTCCTCTAAAGAAATTCCAGGAAGAAATGACAGCTAAAAAACTGTTCAAAACAGATATAAGCAACATAACTGAACAAGAATTTAGAACAATAGTCATAAAATTAATCGCTGGGCTTGAAAAAGGCATGGAAGACATCAGAGAAACTATTGCTACGAGGAGTATGGAGCTTAAAAATAGTTGTGATGAATTAAAAAATGCTATAAATGAGGTGCAAATAAAATGGAGGCATCCAATGCATGGATTGAAGAGGCAGAGAGGAGAATAGATGAATTAGAAGACACAATTAAAGAAAAAGAGGAAGCTGAGAAAAAGAGATAAACTGATCCAGGAACACAAAAGGAGAGCTGACTGATACAATCAAATGGAGCAATATCCGTATCATAGGAACTCCAGAAGAGGAAGAGAGAGGGAAAGGTGCTGAAGGAATACTTGAACAAATTATAGCAGAGAACTTCCCCAATCTGGGGAAGGAGACAGACACTGAAATCCAAGAGGCACAGAGAATTCCCCCAGACATAACTTGAATCCATCTTCTGCATGACATATCATAGTGAAACTGGCAAAATATAAGGACGAAGAGAGAATTCTGAAAGCAGCTAGAGATAAATAGGCCCTAACATACAAAGGGAAACCTATCACAGTGGTGGCAGAAAGAAATGGCAGGAAATCTTCAATGTGATGAACAGAAAAAATATGCAGCCAAGAATCCACTATCCAGCATGCCTGTCATTCAGAATAGAAGGAGAGATAAAAGTCTTTCCAAATAAATAAAAATTGAAAGAATTCGTCACCACAAAACCAGCCCTACAAGAAATCCTGAGGGGGACTCTACGAGGGAAATGTTGCAAGGAACTCAAGGTATCAGAGACACCACCACAAGCATGAATCCTACAAAGAACACAATGACTCCAAACCCATATTTTTCAAAAATAACACTGAATGTAAATGGACTAAATGCTCCAATCAAAAGACATAGGGTAGCAGAGTGCATTAAAAAAAAATCCAACTATTTGCTGTCTATAAGAAACTCATTTTAGTCCTGAGGATACCTTCAGATCGAAAGTAAGGGGATGGAGAAATATATGTATCATGCTACGGGAAGTCAAAAGAAAGCCGGGGTAGCTACACTTAAATCAGAGAAACTAGACTTTAAAGTAAAGGCAGTAACAACGGATGAAGAAGGGCATCATATATAATTACAGGGTCTATCCATCAGGAAGAGCTAGCAATTATAAATGTCTACACACCGAATGCGGAAACACCCACATACATAAAGCAATTAATCACAAAAAGAAACAATCTTATGGATAAGAATGTGCTAATGGCAGAGGACTTTAATACTCTGCTTACAGCAATGGATAGATCAACTAGACAGAAAATCACTAAAGTAACAATGGACTTGAATGACACATTGGACCAGATGGATTTGACAGGTACATTCAGAACTGTACATCCTGAGGCCATGGAATTCACTTTCTTCTCAAGTGTGCATGGCACATTCTCCAAGATAGATCACATACTGGGACATAAAGCAGCCCTCAATAAATATAAAAGAATTGAGATCATACCATGCACACTTTCAGATCACAATGCTATGCAACTTGAAATCAGCCACAGGAAGAAGTTTGGAAAACCTCCAAAAACTTGGAGGTTAAAGAACACCCTACTAAAGAACGAATGGGCCAATCAGGCAATTAGAGAAGAAGTTAAAAAATATACGTAAACAAATGAAAATGAAAATACAACAATTCAAACTGTATGGGATGCGGCAAAGGCAGTCCTAAGAGGAAAGTACATTGCACTTTCAACGGCCATTTCAAGAAATTAGAAAAAGCACAAGTACAAAATCTAACAGCATACATAAAGGAATCGGAAGGAGAGCAACATGAGCACCCCAAACACAGGAGGAGAAGAGAAATAATAAAAATCAGGGCAGATATAAACAATATAGAATCCAAAAAACACAGCTGAACAGATCAATGGAACCAAGAGTTGGTTTTTTAAAAAAAATAAACAAACTTGATAAACCTCTAACCAGGCTTCTCAAAAAGAAAAGAGAGAGCACCCAAATGGACAAAATCATGAATGAAAATGGACTTATTACAACCATTCCCTCAGAAATACAAGCAATTATCAGGGAATACTATGAAAAATTATATGCCAACAAACTGGACAATTTAGAAGAAATGGACAAATTCCTGAACACACACTCACTACCAAAATTCACACGGGAAGAGATAGAAAATCTGAACAGAACCATAACTAATGAAGAAATTGAATCAGTTATCAAAAATCTCCCAACAAATAAAAGCCCTGGGCCAGATGGCTTCCCTGGGGAATTCTACCAGACATTTAAATCAGAGTTAATACCCATTCTTCTCAAGCTATTCCAAAAAATAGAAATGGAAGGAAACTTCCGGACTCATTCTATGAAGCCAGCATCACTTTGATTCCCAAGCCAGATAGAGACCCAGCAAAAAAGGAGAACTACAGGCCAATATCCTTGATGAATACAGATGTAAAAATCCTCAACAAGATACCTGCAAATTGGATGCAACAGCACATGAAAAGAATTATCCACCATGATCAAATGGAATTCATTCCTGGGTTACAGGGCTGGTTCAATATTTGCCAATCAATCAATGTGATACATCACATTAACAAAAGAAAAGATAAAAACCATATGATCCTGTCAATAGATGCAGAAAAAGCATTTGACAAAATACAACATCCCTTCTTAATAAAGACCCTCGAGAAAGTCGGGATAGAAGGAACTTACTTAAACATCATAAAAGCCATTTATGAGAAGTCCTCAGCTAACATCATCCTCACTGGGGAAAAACTGAGAGCTTTCCCCCTGAGATGAGGAACATGACAGGGATGTCCACTCTCACCACTGTTGTTTAACATAGTGCTGGAAATCCTAGTGTCAGCAATCAGACAACAAAAGGAAATAAAAGGCATCAGAATTGGCAAAAAAGAAGTCAAACTTTCACTTTTTGCGGATGACATGATACTCTACATAGAAAACCCGACAGACTCCACCGGATGCCTACAAGAACTGATCCATGAATTCATCAAAGTTGCAGGGTACAAAATCAATGTACAGAAATCAGTTGCATTTTTACATACCAATAATAACAACAGAAAGGGAAATCAAGAAACTGATCCCATTCACAACTACACAAAAAACCATAAAATACCTAGGAATAAACCTAACCAAAGATATAGGAGGTCTGTATGATGAAAACTGTAGAAAACTTATGAAGGAAATTGAAGAAGACACAATGAAATGGAAAAACATTCCATGCTAATGGGTCGGAAGAATAAATACTGTTAAAATGTCATTACTACTCAAAGCAATCTACACATTCAGTGCACTCTCAGTCAAAATTGTACCAGCATTCTTCTCAAAACTAGAACAAACTACCCTAAAATTTGTATGGAACCACAAAAGACCCTGAATAGCCAAAGTAATATTGAAGAAGAAAACCAAAATGGGAGGCATCATAATCCCAGACTTTAGCCTCTACTACAAAGCTGACATCATCAAGACAGTATGGTATTGGCACAAAAACAGACACATAGACCAATGGAATGGAATAGAATACAGAGCTCAGAACTGGACCCACAAATGTATGGCCAACTAATCTTTGACAAAGCAGGAAAGAGTATCCAATGGAAAAAAGCCTCTTTAACAGATGGTGCTGGGAGAACTGGACAGCAACATGCAGAAGAATGAAACTAGATCATTTTCTCACACCATACACAAAAATCAACTCAAAATGGATAAAGGACCTAAACGTGAGACAGGAAACCATCAAAACCCTAGAGGAGAAAGCAGAAATCAACCTCCTTGACCTCAGCCATAGCAATTTCGTACTTGACACATCCTCAAAAGCAAGGGAATCAAGAGCAAAAATGAACTATTGGGACCTCATCAAGATAAAAAGCTTCTACATGGCAAAGGAATCAATAAAACCAATAGGCAACTGACAGAATGGAAAAAGGTAATTGCAAATGACATATCAGATAAAGGGCTAGTATCCAAAATCCATCAGGAATTCACCAAACTCCACACCCGAAAAACAAACAATCCAGTGAAGAAATGGGCAGAAGATATGAACAGACACTTCTCCAAAGAGGACATCCAGATGGCCAACAGACACATGAAATGATGCTGAGTCCCTCATCATCAGGGAAATACACTCAAAACCACACTGAGATACCACCTCATGCCAGTCAGAGTGGCTAAAATGAGCAAATCAGGAGATTATAGATGCTGGTGAGGATGTGGAGAAACGGGTACCCTCCTACACTGTTGGTGGGCATGTAAACTGGTGCAGCCCCTCTGGAAAACAGTGTGGAGGTTCCTCAAAAAATTGACAATAGATCTCCCCTATGACCCAGCAATAGCACTACTAGGAATTTATGCAAGGGATACAGGAGTGCTGGTGCATAGGGGCACATGTACCCCAATGTTCATAGCAAAACAATAGCCAAATCTTGGAAAGAGCCTAAGTGTCCATCAACAGACGAATAGATCAAGAAGATGTGGTTTATCTATACGATGGAATACTACATGGCAATGAGAAAGAACGAAATCTGGCCATGTGTAGCAACATGGATGGACCTTGAGGGTGTTATGCTGAGTGAAATAAGTCAAGCAGAGGAGGAGAGATACCATATGTTTGCATGTATAGGAGGATTAGGAGGAACTTAACAGAGGACGGTGGGGAAGACGTAGGGGGGAAATAGCGGGGGAGAGGGAGGAAGGCAAACCATGAGAGACCCTTGAATGGTTTGAACAAACTGAGGACTGATGGGTGTAGGGGGGAGGGGAAGGGGGAGATGGGCATGGAGGAGGGCACTTGTGCGGATGAGCACTGGTTGTTATATGGCAACCAACTTGACAATAAACTATTTAAGAAAAAAAAAAGATCTCACAGCATATATATGTATAAAGAACCAAGACAGAAACTTCTTGAAAAAATGATCTGCTCTGAAGCAGTGACTGATACACAATGTGTAAGCATGGAAGATGGGTATATAAGAGAGGACAAGTGGCAGGACCAGGATCAGCACACAAAATTAAGTATGAAAAGCAACCTAATCTGAGATGGGAGAGGATTACATTACATACCTTATCATTTATTTTACTGCTGTCATCTACAGTGCAGTTTTGTTATGGAGGCCAAAGTAACCAGTTTTGAATGTCACTCCACAAATCCTCCTATTATAGTCTCATCCTCCCAGTCTGCCCCCCACTCTCATTCTGCCTTTCAACCACTCTGGCCTTCACTGAGTTCCTCAGACCTGCCATGGTCCTTGCTGCCACAGAGCCTTTGCACATCTCTTTTCTAGTCTCTTATCTTGAGATTGTCCCTACTTATCTTTTGGATCTCAGCTTAAGTATCAAACAGTTCCTCTGAGAAGCCTTCCCCTGTGACTCCAATATAAATCAGATTCCATGAGTATATTTGTTCAGAACTGGGTGCTTTTCCTTCAGAGCAGTTGCCTCACTCTGTTGTTCACGCGTTTAGTTGTTAGGTGACTAGGTTGTTCCTCTCCCCTGCTGGACTGTAAGCCATTAGGTGAGGGCTGAGTCCAGGTTGCTAGTAATACAACCTATCTCAACAATTATTTATTGAAAAAACACAAGAAAGTGCCAAACTCAGAAATGGTTTAGAAACAACAAGTGTTCTATTTGGTAGATACTTCCAGGGATAGGATGGGAGATGCATTTCTGATTTCTGCTTAGCAACTGAATTTACCTGGGTCTTCCGTGTGGCTTGTGGCTTGATCATGATATTGATAAGAGAAGGTTTAGTTGTGTCTGCCAAGCTCTCCCTCAGTGATTTTTGGAGCTCTTCTGGTGTTTGTACGAAATACCCTTTGCCTCCAAACGCAGTCATAACCTGCTCATAATGTGAGTTCGGCAAAAGACAGACTGGAGGGGCCCTAAAAAAGGTCATAAGTCAACAGAAAAGAAGGTCATTTTCTGAAATAATCTGTGGAAAAATTTAGGCTGACTAAAAGGTATATATTTATGTCCAACCCTTAAACAAAAATGCCAGTACTTTAAACTTTCCATATGTTTTTTATTGTCTATATAGCAATGTCCAATAGGACTTTTTGTGATAATAGAAATGTTTTATATTTATATCTGTGCTATCCACTATAATAGCCACTAGCAACCTGTTGCTGTGAGCACTTGAAATGTGACTAGTTAAAATAAGAAAATGATTTGGAGTGTTGGGTGGCTCAGTCAGTCAAGAGTCCGACTTCAGCTCAGGACATGATCTCATAGTTTGTGAGTTTGAGCCCTGTATCAGGTTCTGTGCTGACAGATCAGAGCCTGGAGCCTGTTTCAGATTCTGTGTCTCCTTCTCTCTCTGCCCCTCCCCCACTCATGCTCTGATGCTCTGTCTCTCTGTCTCTCAAAAATAAATAAACATTAAAAAAAAATAAGAACTGATTTTTAAATTAAAAAAAATTTTTTTTAATGTTTGTTTATTTTTGAGAGACAGAGCAGGGGAGGGACAGAAAGAGAGGGAGACACAGAATCAGAAGCAGACTTCAGGCTCTGAGCTGTGAGCACAGAGCCCAACGCGGGGCTCGAACACATGGACCATGAGATCATGACCTGAGCTGAAGTCAGACGCTGAACTGACCGAGCCACCCAGGTGCCCCCTGATTTTTAAATTTAATTTAAATAGCCACACAAGGCTAGTAGCTACTATACTGAAGTGCAGGCTACACCATCAGCTACTATGAATTCAAAAGAAAAACGAAAAGAAAGGAATGGTTATGGCAAAGCACCAAATAACAACAAAATGAGAAATGGAGTCAGTGAGGCATAAGCAAACATACTCACATCCCACTCCACCCTGGGGCTGACTCCCACACAGCTAGATACAATACTGTCATAGTTTGACTCTGCCATCAGATAATCAAGAATTAGTTAAGTAGTAAAAAGAAGGAAGATCTCTGGATCATAAACAATGTGTTAACATCCATTTCCTCCATTGTGTAATAGTATTAGAAGGACTGGAAGCATTTTGCAACAAGCCCTTTCATAAACAAAGCTTCGACATCCATCTTAAGTGTCCAAGTCTTTAGTGGCTCCCTGGTCATAAATTATTTACTGAAGCACCCCATCATGAGTGGCTGTACAAACAGGAGCCATGCAGACAGGGTTCCCGTGCTTTAGGAGGGCTGACCATATAAATAAACAATACACACACCACCAAAGCACAGTATAAGACAGCAGACGTCGTAAGGAGAGATTAAAACAGATGAAGGAAAATAAATACACATTGTTCTGGGTTACTTACACTACAGTAGCATCTCCAAATTTTAACAATTCCTTCCAACTATCTGCATCAAAACCTTGGTAAATTCCATTATTATTCACCACCAAAAGTATGATGGGCAAGTTGTACCTAAAATTGAAAGCAAAATACAAAGGAAATCATTCTTCATTCTAAAGTACTTTATCTTCAGGCTGAAACTTTAATTTAAAAATGGGTAGTTTTTTAGAAATAAGTTTTTTGTAATATTAGGGTAAGACTAAAAATAAAACATTTGAGGGGCGCCTGGGTGGCTTAGTCAGTTAAGCGTCCGACTTTCGCTTAGGTCATGATCTCGCGGTTCGTGGGTTCGAGCCCTGCGTCGGGCTCTATGCTGACTGCCAGCACAGAGCCTGGAGCCTGTTTTGGAGTCTGTGTCTCCCTCTCTCTCTGGCCCTCCCCTGCTCATGCTCTCTCTCTCTCTCTCCTAGAAATAAATAAAAATATTAAAAAAAAATTAAACATTTGCTACCTAATAAGTAACATCAAATCATTAATGGAAACACGGAGTCACAAAGGGTGTAAGAACACTAGGTTCTAGCATTATGCATCTGTGGACCTCACTGAGCTTTTCTGAACTTTGGTTTTCACAGATCCAGGTGTTAAGAATGACACCTTCCACCTTCCATATTTAATACCTTCAGACACACCACTTCCAGGGGGTGCCTAGGAGTACTATTTGAAAAGTGTCAGTCTGTTTACTGAACTCCTCACAGACAAGCAGCACTTGCTAGATGCTGTGGGAAGCATACAGTGACTAGCATACATTACCTTCTCTCAAACCACTTCACTCCAAATTAGAAAAGCATTATATAGGGGCCCTTGGGTGGCTCGGTCAGTTGAGCGTCCGACTTCGCTGCAGGTCATGATCTCACTGTTCATGGATTCGAGTCCCACATCAGGCTCTGTGCTGAGAGCTGAGAGCCTGGAGCCTGCTTTGGATTCTGTGTCTCTCTTCTCTCTGCCCCTCTCCCACTCTCACTCTCTCTCTCAAAAATAAAAATAAAACGTTGAAAAAAAATAAAAAAGAAAAGCATTGTATAATAAATAGAAAAAAACAGTATATTTAATAATGCGCTAAACAGTATTGTAAACACACACAAAAAAAGAATGATTAAACTTTATGAGTGACTGACAAAAGAACATGGGCTTTATTTGTGCACACATAATTTCTGAGACGAGGTGTAAAAACAAAATTACACTGCATACCGTTATGTAACAGGACTGTGGTAACTACCTGCGTTCCATGCTCAATGGGAATCATGACTCTCTAGAAGTCTGGCTTTCTCATAAATCACCTTTTTGGTGTATATCACTTGGGTTGTCAATATATACATTCTAACAAGTACATATTTTCTATCTGATCTTGAAAGTGTTGTATACCAAAGCTTTAAAAGCTCCCAAAACATGATTTACAAAAGGTCTAGTAAGAGTCCTGGCTAAGAATGAAGAATGACTTTACTACAGTTTAAATAATTAGGGAGAAAAAAGTCCCCATTCTTCCATTGCAGGATCTATAGCTCATGAGTTTCTCCCTGTAAACAATCCTCACAACCATAAACATAATCTGAACAGCTCACATTCAGTGAGCAATCATCTGGAGCTTTACCTAGATTACCTCATTCGTTCCTCACCACCATCTTCTAAGGTAGTAACTATTACTATTCCTCTCCCTATTTTAGAGGAGACTGGAGCTTAGTAAAGTAAGTTAACCCACATCACCTGGCTTTGTTGTGGTCAATCCAGACCATGGACCCAGAGGCTGTGCTCTTAACCACAAAGCTCTGCTCTCACCTGACCAAAACAAGCTTTTCTCAGACCAGAGCGTCTTGCAGGGATCTCAAAACCACTCCTCACAGTTCTGGGGCATCTAGTAAAGAGGTCATGAGCACACTGTCCGGGATGAGAAGGGCCCTGGGGTTATTTTATACTAGCATTCTCAGGACACAGCATAGAGCTATGCACTGGGCATTTGGCACATGGTGAACACCTGGTAAGCATTTGTTAGGCAAGTGAATCTTTATCTTTTGGAGAAAGAAATGAATGCTGTTTACCTACAGATGGTTTCCACTTCCATGCCCGAAAACCCAAATGCACTGTCTCCTTCCACACAGATGACCCGCTGCCCTGGGTTTCTATCTTTAGCCACCAAAGCAGCTGCAATGGCAAAGCCCAAACCAACTCCCATTGTTCCAAAAGTACCAGCATCAAGCCTGTTGGGGAAAAAAAACCTAAAATGAAACCCTCTGGGGCATGTTGTGGATGGTGGGTGGGCACAAACCTAGTCATATTCACGTGTAAAATAAACAACAATAAAAACATTCTCTGTCTTTAATATAAAGTTTTTAGACTGTGAGGAACCGACTAGTCAGGCATAAGCAGTATGAGAGGAAAAAGTCTCTCGTGATGGCCTGGGAGACTGTGAATATACCCTTGGAACACTAAGTACAGAAATTATCACATGACCTCAAAGATACACCAAGCATAAAAATTCTACCAAATCTCACCTAAGAATACTTTCATAAAATATGTCCTTATACACTGAACATGTGTCATCCTCAAATGCTTTATGAACAAGCATTACTGTAGTTTCAAATTTAACACATTATAATTTCTTTTCTGGAAGCCCTACCTGTGACGAGGAAGGTAGTTCTGAAGCACAGTGCGTCCAATGTCCATAGTATTTGCTCCTTCACTAACCACAAAGCAGTCTCTGGGTAGTTGTTCTTGAACATGATAGAACACAGTGTAATAATTCATAGTCAGGGATTTTTGGGAAGCTAATTCCTAAAGTATTTGAGGGAAATATAATCAAATTAGGTTGAGATACAGTGAAAAATGAGCAATGTCAATAAGCTACTACCAAGCTCATTTGGAAACAGGCAACAACTATAAGCTACAAGGTTCCCAAACGGCCACTCTTAGAAGCTAATGGATCTCCTAACACTCCTATGGGATGTGCTAAGAAAAATGGGATCAACAGCCCCAGTCTGGGACAAGATCAAATAAGCTAGGGAATAACTCTTCTTGGAGATCCACAATGTACATTAGCATTCTGAAGTCAGAAAAGTCTATAGTAAAGATAGCTGGAAACATTGGGTTAAACAAAACCAAACAGTCTTATTTGAGCATTTTTAAGAATACACTGCCTTAGAAAAAGTAAACATTTTATTCTAGAATATTTTAATGGGAAATACGCCCTTAAGTTTAAAATAAAAATGAAGTCAGGATTTTAGAAAATCTGAAAATCTGGTTCTTCTCCAAGCTCACTGGAGAGTAAAGGGGATGTGCTTCACCCACTAAAGAGTCTTTGAATGGAGCACGATAAGTGCCTTTGTCTAGTCATATGCCTGCTAGATCGGAGAGAAAGCCACGTGGGGCTTCAGTGGCAATAGTCCCATGGGCTTCCAGCACTGCCTCTTCCCCTGTGCTGTTTTGGCCTTCTGGAGAGTATACCTAAGATGGATAAGGCACCCCCTATCCTGCACCAGAGGAGAGAGGCAACTGCGCTCCTTCCATCTTAAACTAGTATGATTCCTAGGGAAAAGAAGGGATTAATTATGACACCATTCAAGAAAATAGAACTGAGACTGCCTCTTGATAGAAATAGCCACTGATGAAAATTCCAATAAAACATGGAGTTATGTATAGTCAATTCTGTGATTTTTGAAAATGTGAATTTATTCCAAGACATCTGATCTATAAGGAAACAACAGGAGCACAACGCAAATTTCACATTGCTTATGCAGGATTCCGTCAGTGAGAAACACTCCAGGAACACAGAAAACTACACCCAGCTGAACCAAGATGCATAGGAATACACAAAACATCAGAAAAAAAAATCAGGAACAACCTTTCTCATTATCAAAGAAAAACAATTCTACCTAAATACGAAGACTCTAAATAGAAATCACCACGTCCAACAGAAGTGGTTCATTTCACGGTTAGTAGTGGATGGTCTGGTGGTTTCACACTTTAGTATTGTTTCCAAGGCCTTTAGATATCAGGCAAAGCCATGAATGCAGCTGAGGAAGTCACAAAATAATTTCCCATGGTGGCACCAAAGTTAATTTAAAAAGGGTATAAATGGTCTCACAAAAAAGAAAGAAAAAAAGAAAAGTATGAAGTGATGGATGTGTTAATGAAATAGATGGGGGCAATCCTTCCCCGCCGTGTATACGTGTTATCAAATCGTCATGATATACCTTTAAGTATTTTACAATTTTATGTGTCAATTATACCTCAATAAAGCTGACATTTTTTTTTAAAAGGGCTGTACATTAGAACAAAGTTTTAATTTTGATGAAACGTTTATCTATTATACATGCATGCCTTGAAGGACTTATATCTTAAGGGTAGAAAAACATGCCCCAGAATTTAAGATTCCAAAAGATCTCTTAATTGTGATTTGGTGTCAAGGTCAACCTGAGGACAGTGAGCCCTACCCATTCACACAGGCTCTTATAACTTTCTGTCCAATGTCAGATCAGCCTCCTTCCATCACATCACACTAACTCACAAGTTGAGATCCTCCCAATGACAACTTCCACAAGAGAGTTCAGGTCTTTTTCAAGGAAAAGTCCTATATTTATCAAAATATATATGTATTAACCATTTAACATGTGTAGAATTTTTATTAGGTTCCTATCTTAATGTTTCACAAAGTTTTGAGAGCTGTGCCTCTAAACCTTTTTTCCCATGAACCCCATGGTTTTTACTCCATGACTTTACATAGCGTGCTGATTTTAGGAATGTGTAAGTCATATTATGACAGAGCTAACAGAACCAAGAGCCTGAAATGTTCCTGAATTTCTGAGTCTCGTATTACCTTGGTTGCGGCATCATTGCTCTTCATTTTTTCTCTCAGAGTTTTCCACCAGCTGCTCTCTGGAGGATACTGCCATGGTGTTTTATCAAATTGTTCTAGAAGCTAAAAAACCACAGACTTTTTATTTTTTGAAAATATGCTTACGTCATGTTAACACAACAACATCATGTTAAAGAAGATGATACTGCTGTACTGTCTTGCCCTTCTCATCACTCACTGTTTGTCCTTTAGGCAGTTAGCAACTGGTAGAAAACAAATAGGCAACATGGAAAGCATTTGTTTGGGTCAGTGTAGACTTCTGCCAAATGTTGGGATTTCCAAAGAACACAAGGGAAATGCTACCTCACCTCACAGGCAGGGGCTTTTATGTCCTCCTCAACTTTCAACACTAGAAAGAAAATCACCCCCACTATAGAATCCTTGTGGGAAGGACCACAGCCACAAACATCCAGGGACTTCCAAATTACAGATCAAATGTTCCAGGATATTCTAAAATGTGATTGGGGATTGCTTCCTAACATTATGTAGTCATGATAACAATACCAATTTGTATCCAATATCAAGTGAAAGATAACACTATACTTTATCTCCTCTTATAGTGAACTGTATAAATTACATACAAATAGTGAGCATCTGGACAAGTCACTGAGTACCATTTGAAGAATAAAGAAATCTCTTTATTGCCTAATGAAATACTAAGTTAGATTTTTCCAGTACATTAAGACATTTCTTGGCTGTAAGTTCCGTTCCTTTGGAAGCTGTAGTATAATTTTTCAGACAGCTGAATCCTATTTAGTATATCACTGTTTGCCTACTGAATGCCTTTAAGTCTTCAATTCCCTTCCAAAATGATTAACTTACTCACATAAAAATGATTTATATATAAGGAGTTGGATTTACTGAGTTCCAAAGTTCTTTTTAAGACTAGCTTTACATCATGAATTTTGTTTAAAATAGATATTAATAAGCCTGTCACCAAGTGGATCAAGGCTGAGACATTTTTAAGAACAGACTATTCCTGAAAGACCAATCCATATACATTAAAACCTAGGTAGAAGCTCTTACCTGTTTAGTGATGGCATTTATGTCTCCTAACAAAGTCACAGCAGGCTTTACATTATTCCCCAGTTCTTCTGCACAGATATCAACCTAAAAGAGATAAAGCTTAAGAACAACCCATGCTTATTCTTAAAAATTTTTAAGAAGTCAATTAATACTAGGGCACCTGGGTGTTTCAGTCAATTAAGCTGACTTCGGCTCAGGTCATGATCTCGTGGTTTGTGAGTTCGAGCCCTGTTTTAGGCTCTGTGCTGACAGAGACGAGCCTGGAGCTACTTCGAGTTCTGTGTCTCCCTCTCTCTCTGCCCCTCCCCTGCTCACACTGTTTCTTTCTCTCTCTCAAAAATAAACACTAAAAAAGTTTTTTTAATGAAAAAAGAAGTTAATACTGAATAAATGAACTGCGTATATGCAACAAATGATAAAGATGATTTGATATCCAAGATATTTCTTAATAAAATTAAAATCCATAGAACTGTATCACAGTAAATACAGAAACTTCATCCTCCTCCTTCATTTTAATATCTACTCTGTAGATTTGATTATTGTTCTATTATACTCAGGAATGCATGTGAGTTGATTAATTATATAGTTTTTAATCTCATCAATAATAAGATTCTGTTTAATATTTTTAATGTTTATTTATCTTTGAAGGAGAGAAAGACAGAATGTTAGCAGGGGAGGAGCAGAGAGAGAGGGAGACACAGAATCCAAAAGCAGGCTCCAGGCTCTGAGCTGTTGGCACGGAGCCCGATGCAGGGCTCGAACCATGAACCACAAGACCATGACCTGAGCCAAAGTTGGATGTTCAACCGACTGAGCCACCCAGGCACCTCAGGTTCTGTTTAATTACACTGTAGTTCCTACCTAGAGCAAGTCTCAAATGTGAACTGTCAGAACCACCTGGTAGCCTTGTTAAACCACAAACTCCAAGAGTCTACTTCGGAGTCTCTGATCTCAGCAGGTCTGAATGGGGCCCCAAAATGTGTTTTTCTAACTGGTTTCCCAGGTGAGGCTGACGCTGCTGGTCCAGGGACCACATTTTCAGAACTACTACTTCCTAGGGTACGGCATGATTACTTCCCATTTGCCCAGAAGCTCCATTTCTGAATGACCATGGGCAAGTGAAAATAGCTGTACAAGAAGTTGTAATTTAGCCACCTCAGAGGGGATGCACTTTATTCTGTACTCGAGGGATAATCAAGAGGTGGCAACGTCTTCCAGGAAACCCCAGTCTTGCTTTTTCGCAGAGTTAGTTCTCCCATAACCCCAGGGGGAATGGGACTATTAGAAGTGGATTCCTTAAAAAGTAAACAGGGAGAAGACAGCAATTGTAGCTGGGTCATCAAACACCATACACAATCTCTGGAGAGCAAACATATTCACACTGTACTATACCGACAGTACTTTCCACACCAGTAAGGAAACTGGCTTAGAAAGAGGATCATAATGATACATGACTCATCAGACGGAATTCAGAGTACATTTCACTCTGCTCAGTGACAGGTAAAAACATTTAGACATTCCTAACCAAAAGATGTTTGAAAGATTTGGCATCTTGGGGTGCCTGACTAGCTCAGTCAGTGGAGTGTGTGACTCTTGATCTTTGGGTTGTGGGTTCAAACCCCATGCTGTGTGTAGAAATAACTTTTAAAAAAATCTTAAAGAGAAAGATTTGGCATCTAAAACGACAACTCAATCTCTAACAATGTTGAATGTTTTGTTCTAATCTACCATTCTACTCAAACCCCTTTGGTCTGCCTTTAAATGTACATGAACTATGAAGAAGAGGCGAATTATGTTTTTCAAACTATTTAAAACTTGGTTTTGAAAGGTTTTCTGGTTAGAAGTAAAGTGGTACATTATATTTCATAGGCTTGAAAAGGCAGCTGGTACCTGTTAGACAATAAAAATCTACAAAAGCCAGGAAGAAAGCAGAGATCATAATAGCTGGGGACAGTAAGTCACAGATAGCTCTGATTTTAAATCTCTCTACACTGAGTACCTGGATAAACTTCACATGTGGCTGGTATCTTGGAGGCAGTCCAAAATGCAAAATCCAATTTAATCGGGCACCAAATAACACAATTACATCAGCAAATTGCAAAGCCCTATTAAAAAGAAAAATTTGTTTAATACAAAAGGTATATCCATATTTCTTATTTGAATTATCCTAAAATTACTTTCTAAGTATTTTGCTAAGTTCAAATGATTTGGAGCTTATTTTATTTTAGTTTTCAGAATAAGCTTCTAGGGTAAATTTGATTGTTTAAATCAAAATAATTTATGAAGCCATTCTATTTAAATAGTAATCTAAAAGGTAAAATACATAGATAAATTTTATAAGACTATACCTATTTCATTGCTTATTTCTTTTTATCGTTAGAAAAATTATTACAAGTCTACTGTATATAATGTGGAAAACAGAAAAAGTATAAAGAAAAAAAACCTCATGTAGTAATACTATCGACTTGAAAGCTATTATTAATAGTCTGGTATATTGCAACTCTAGTCTTTCAATGCAAGTATATTTTTACATAGTTGAGCTTATATGCTAGAATACTGTCTCATGCACTTTTGCTTATTATCACATTTTCCTTTTCATTAGGTTCTTCTTAAAATTTGTATCATTTTTATTATTTTAATGCTCTATTTATATTTTTTAAGTAATCTCTATATCCCTACACGTAGGTCTCAAACACACAACCCTGAGATAAAGTCGCATGCTCTTCTGACTGAGCCAGGCAGGCCCCTTTAAGTACAATTTTGAAAGGCTACATAGTTTGCAGAACACATACACCAAATTTATTAAACCTTTCCTTAATTAGTGGGTAATCTGTTATTAATATTACTGGGTTGCACATCTTTATGCTTGAATATTTTTTTGTGTGTGTGAGCAGGGGAAGGGCAGAGAGAGAGGGAGAGACAGAATCCCAAGAGGTCCCACACTCACTGCAGAGCTCCATCTCACAACCGTGAGATCATGACCTGAGCCATTACCAAGAGTCAGACACCTAACCGACTGAGCCACACAAGCGTCCCTATGCTAGAATCTAAATACATACTTCATATTGATTCTTAGAAGAAGGTATTTTTAAGACAATTGATTCATATTCCCAAATTGCTTTCAAAAATATTTACCAGATTTATTAATACTTTATTTTATATATCTTAATATCCTTGTCAATATAACTTCTAATTTTTTAAAAATAATCTTTACTTTGATATCCACACCAATATTAACAGTGATTCTTGCTTTGTTTTTGTTTATCTCACACATCTTTGCTTATTTTATGCTGTATCATTTGTTTCGGATGTTGTTCTTATAATATACGTAACTGTCATTTTACTATTTTATTGATCAAATCAATAATGTTTCTACCTTTCTACAGAAGAATTTATTATCATGATGGCTGTGGGTTTGTTTGTTTGTTTTTTTTACTTCTCATTTTTCTGCTTCTTAGCTATTTCTCTTTTATCCTGTATTTTTCTATAAGGGATCTGTTCTTTTGCTTTTGTCTTCTTCAGTGATGATACAGTACGTGTTTTCATATACTGTATTGGTCCTCTGGGACCCAATTTAACAAACAGATGAAAACTGCAATTGGAAGAATAGATTTATTTATTGATACCTGATAATATTGATTAAATTATTTAAACTGCTTGTAATCTTTTTTACACTATTAACTTCTGTTTTCAAGATAAATATTCTTCATTTTTCTACTTCTTTTTCAAATTTTCATCCAAGTTAACATACAGCGTAATAATGATTTCAGGAGTAGATTCCAGTGATTCATCCCCTACATATAACACCCAGTGCTGATCTCAACAAGTGCCCTCCTTAATACTCCTTGCCCATTTAGGCCATCTCCCCACCCAAAACCCTTCCAGCAACCCTCACTTTGTTCTCTGTATTTAAGAGTCTCTTATGTTTTGTCCCTTTCCCTGTTTTTATATTATTTTTGCTTCCCTTCCCTTATATTCATGTTTTGTATCTTAAATTCCACATATGAATGAAGTCATGTATTTGTCCTTCTCTAATTTCACTTAGTATAATGCACTCTAGTTCCATCCACGTTGTTGCAAATGGCAAGATTTCATTCTTTTTGGTCAGTGAGTAATATTCCATTGCATATATATACCACATCTTCTTTATCCATTCATCTGTTGATGGATATTTGGGCTCTCTCCATACTTTGGCTATTGTCAATAGCTCTGCTATAAACATTGAGGTGCATGTGCCCCTTCAAAACAGCCCTCCTGTATCCTGTGGATAAATACCTAGTAATGCAATTGCTGGGTCATATGGTAGTTCTATTTTTAATTTTTTTAAATATAATTTATTCTCAAGTTAGCTAACATACAGCGTATACAGTGTGCTCTTGGTTTTGGTGGTAGAGTCCCATGCTTCATCACTTACATACAACACCCAGTGCTCATCCCAACAAGTGTCCTCCTCAATGCCCATCACCCATTTCTCCCTCTTTCCCCCCATCAACCCTCAGTTTGTTCTCTGTATTTAAGAGTCTCTTGTGGGTCTGCCTCCCTCTCTGTTTGAAACCGTTTTTCCCCTTCCCTTCTCCCATGGTCTTCTGTTAAGTTTCTCAAGTTCCACATATGAGTGAAAATATATGATGTGTTTCTCTGACTGACTTATTTCACTTAGCATTATACCCTCTAGTTACATCCACGTTGTTGCAAATGGCAGGATTTCATTCTTTCTCATTGCCAAGTAGTATTCCATTGTATATATAAACACATCTTTATCCATTCACCAGTGGATGGACATTTGGGCTCTTTCCATGATTTGGCTACTGTTCAAAATGCTGTTATAAATGTTGGGGTACAAGCGCCCTTATGAATTAGCACTCTTGTATCCTTTGGATAAATTCCTAGTAGTGCTATTGCTGGGTTGTAGGGTAGTTCTATTTTTAATTTTTTGAGGAACCTCCACACTGTTTTCCAGAGTGGCTGCACCAGTTTGCATTCTCACCAACAGTGCAAGAGGGTTTGTATTTCTCCACATCCTCACCAACATCTTTTGTTTCCTGACCTGTCAATTTTAGCCACTGTGACTGGTGTGAGGTGGTATCTCAGTGTGGTTTTGATTTGTATTTCCCTGCTGATGAGTGATGTTGAGCATCTTTTCATGTGTCTGTTAGTCATCTGGATGTCTTCTTTGGAAAAGTGTCTATTGCCCATTTCTTCACTGGATTATTTGTTTTTTGGGTGTTGAGTTTAATGAGTGATTTATAGACTTAGGATATTAGCCCTTTATCTGATATGTCATTTGCAAATACCTTCACCCATTGCATCAGATGCTTTTTAGTTTTGCTGATTGTTTCCTTCACTGTGCACAAGTTTTTATCTTGATGAGGTCCCAATAGTTCATTTTTGCTTTGTTTCCCTTGACTCTGGAGACATGTTGAGTAAAAAGCTGCTGCGGCCGAGGTCAAAGAGGTTTTTGCCTACTTTGTCTTCTAGGATTTTGATGGTTTCCTGTCTTACATTTAGGTCTTACATCCATTTTGAGTTTATTTTTGTGTCTGGTGTAAGAAAGTGGTCCAGGTTCATCTTTCTGCATGTCGCAGTCCAGTTTTCCAACACCATTTGCTGAAGTGACTGTCTTTATTCTGTTGGATATTTTTTCCTGCTTTGTCAAAGATGAGTTGGCCATTTGTTTGTGAGTCCAGTTCCTGCTATCTATCCTGTTCCATTGATCTAAGTGTCTCTTTTTGTGCCAGTACCATCGTGTATTGATGATTACAGCTTTGTATTACATCCTGAAGTCGGGAACTGTAATGCCTCCAGCTTTGGTTTTCATTTTCAGGATTGCTTTGGCTATTTGGGGTATTTCCTGGTTCCATACAAAGTTTAGGATTGTTTGTTCTAGCTCTGGTGTTATTTTCATAGGGATGCTGGTGTTATTTTGCTAGGGATTTTATTGAATATGTAGACTGCTTTGGGTAGTGTCAACATTTTAACAATATTTGTTCTTCCAATGCATGAGCATGGAATACCTTTCCTTTTTTTGTGTGTCTTCTTCAATTTCTATCATAAGGTTTCTATAGTTTCAGTGTATACATTTTTCACTGCTTAGGTTAGATTTATCCCTAGGTATTTTATGGTTTTTGGTGCAATTATAAAGGAGATCAATTACTTGATTTCTCTTTCTGCTGCTTCATTATTGGTGTACAGAACAGAAATGCTACCTATTTCTGTGCATTGATTTTATATCCTGCAACTTTGCTGAATTCATGGATCAGTTCTAGCAGTGTTTTTGGTGCAATTTTTTGGGTTTTCAACATAGAGTATCATACCATCTGTCAACAGTGAATGTTTGACTTCTTCCTTGCCAATTTGGATGCCTTTTATTTCTTTGTGTTATCTGATTGCTGAGACTAGGACTTCCAACACTAAGTTGAATACGACTGGTGAGAGTGGACATCCTTGTGTTCCTGACCTAAGGGGAAAAGGTCTCAGCTTTTTCCCATTGAGGATGATATTAGTGGTAGGTCTTTCAAATATGGCTTTTATGATCTTGAGGTATGATCCTTCTACCCCTACTTTCTTGAGGGTTTTTATCATGAAAGGGTGCTTTATTTTGTCAAATGCAATTTCTGTATCTATTGAGAGGATCATATGGTTCTTATCCTTTCTTTTATTAATGTGATCTATCACACTGATTGACTTGCAGATATTGAACCAGCTTGCATCCCAGGTATAAATCCCACTTGATCATGGTGAATAATTTTTTTAATGCATTGTTGGATCCGGTTGGCTGTTATTTTGTGGAGAATTTTTGCATCCATGTTCATCAGGGAAATTGTTTTATAGTTCTCCTTGTTAGTAGGGTGTTTGTCTAGTTTTGGAATAAAGGTAATGCTGGCCTCATAGAATGAGTTTGGAAGTTTGCCTTCCATTTCTATTTTTTGGAACAGGTTCAAAAAATAGGTGTTAACTCTTCTTTAAATGTTTGGTAGAATTACCCTGGAAAGCCATCCTGTCCTGGACTCTTGTTTTTTGGAAGATTTTTGATTACTGATTCAATTTCTTTACTGGTTATGGGTCTGTTCAAATTCTCTATTTCTTCCTGTTTCAGTTTTTGTAGTTTATATGTTTCTAGGAATTTGTCCATCTCTTCCAGACTGCCCAATTTATTGGCATATAATTGCTCATAATATTCTCTTATTATTGTTTATATTTCTGCAGTATTGGTTGTGATCTCTCCTCCTTCATTCTTGATTTTATTTATTTGGGTCTTTTCTTTTTTCTTTTTGATCAGAGTGGCTAGATGTTTATCAATTTTGTTAATTCTTTCAAAGAACCAGCTCCTGGTTTCATTGAACTGTTCTACTGTTTTGCTGGGGTTTTTTAAATTTATTTATTTCAATAGCATTGATTTCTGCTCTAGTTTTTATTATTTCCTGTCTTCTGGGGGTTTGGGGACTTTATTTGCTGTTTTACCAGTTCTTTAAGGATTAAGTTTAGGTTGTGTATCTGAGACCTTTCTTCCTTCCTTAGGAAGGCCTGGATTGCTATATACTTCCCTCTTATGACCGCCTTTGCTGCATCCCAAAGGTTTTGGGCTGTTGTGTTATCATTTTCATTGGCTTCCATGTACTTTTTAATTTCCTCTTTACTTTCTAGGTTAGCCCATTTATTCTTCAGTAGAATGTTCTTTAATCTCCAAGTATTCATGGTCTTTCTAAATCTCTTCTTGTGGTTGATTTTGGGTTTCGTAGAATTGTGATCTGAAAATATGAATGGTATGATCTCATTCTTTTTGTACTTGTCAAGGGCTGATTTATGTCTCAGTATGTGATTTATTTTGGAGAATGTTCCATATGTTTAATATTGCCTTCTTAAACTTTGGATGGAATGAAGATAAACCTCAGCTCAAGTCAAGCTAAAATAAAAATATATAAACATACACACACATACACACATACACACACACACACACACACACACAAACCTTAACAGGGTAAGAATTTGGTTACTGTACAGTGTATACCAATATTTAAAAAAATAAAGGTATAATCTATATCTTAATCTTAATAGATTAAGGTATAATTTAAGATAGCATTAAATAAGCAAAAATTACATTTTAAAAACCCTCAAAATTAATTTTAGTGTGTGCATGAGAATATGAAAAGCACCAAATGCATAACTGTGATGAACTGTACTGGGAGGGAAGGAATGAGATCAGGAAAGCTATTCAGAGAACTACAAATGAGTCTGTAATTTTTTCTTTACAAAAAAATTTTTAAAAAAATAAAGAAAAGAAACTAAAGCAATGACATATTACTTAATTAATGTTACATAATACTTAATATATTACATCAATTTGATAAAGCTGAGTGGTGGTTACATAAGTGTTCATTAAATTGTCTCATTTGTATTATTTAGAATATTTCATTATAAAGAAATTAAAAGAAAAAATGTATAGTTTATGAAAACATATGTTTTAAAAATCTAAAAATAGGAGACTTCTAGTGCCAGCCACAACTGGGTAAGCCCACTATAGCCTAGCTCTCTAATCACAATGGAAAACTGGGAACAAAATATAAAAAGCAACTGCCTGAGGATTCTGAAAAGTAACCAAAAGAAGATGGTGGGGGAGAGGAGTCAAAAAGCACAAAAGGTTTATTTCCCCATCTTTCATTTTGTAGCTTTAACTCAGGGCAGGGTTGGTTGCAGAACTGGAGGGTAACAAACACTTGGGGAGAAACCTTGTCTTTTTGACCAGGTGATCAAACAAAGGGACCCTGCAAGCCAGGGAGAAACACGGTGGGGAAAAGTTGAAGTTTTTCCTTTTTCCTTTTTGGCTCTCGCAGCCAAAAAGGGGCGAGAGCTATGGGGGTGGCCCTCCTGCACAGCTGCATCGTGGTAGGTCTCCAGCAGCTAAAATACCAAGAGCGACTTCATTTTTCAGGCAAGAACAACCAGGAAAGGAGCCCCTTTGGACTGTGAAGAGTATAGGGACAATTCTCCTTCCTCTCCTCTCCTCTCCT